ACTTAGCGGTACGACACATAATTGTGCTCCACACAGGTTTCTGCATCTCGTTTATATACACTATGAACAGCAGCTACGCTGATTATTCTCTTTATTCTCTATTTCCACCTGGGGATACTCATCCTGAGGCCCTTAGACTACGCAGCGCCACTGATCCGATTCAAGACCAGCGACGAGATGATCCCAAGGTTTCCATATCCTGGACCAGGCTGTATCCTGAGTAGCTGCTGTGGTGGTCATGGAGGAGTGGAGAGCATGAGACTGATTCCTGTGACGCTCCAGGGACAGACAAGTCTTCGCTGAGGTCCAGCCTCCGCCGCTGAGACTGCATCTCTGCACAAGACGTTTGGCCAGTGGAGAAATGGTCGTGCCCAACTGAGTCTGGTTTCTCTCGAGGTTTTTTAATTCTAAACTTTCGCTTTTTTCTCGCCACTGTCGCCTGCATGGTTTGAGATCTGTAGAGCTGCGCATCGATGGATTTGCTCTTCAGTGTTTGGACTCACAATAGTGATTATTAAACCACACTGAACTGAGCTAAACTGAACTGAACTTAAACCCTGAAAACTGAACTACACTGTTTCAGTGTACTATGATCTTCTATGTGAAGCTGCTTTGACACAATCTACATTGTAAAAGCGCTATACAAATAAAGCTGAATTGAATTGAACACACACACAAGAGGGAATCCTCCAGTTCCTCCTCCTGCTGTTCTTGCATCTCTTTCACACTTTCTGTGTTCCTTCAAAACAATGTTGCGTGGCATTTTTCATTCTGCTCGCCCAAAGCCATGACCTCGTGCTTAATTATAGAGCTCATCGCATTCTCCAGATTCTAATGTTCTCTGTTAAAAACAAAATGCATTTTACCAACAAGGAAGAACCTGGACGAGACAAAGACTTGAGTGGCTGGGTTTTGAGGTGGAGGTATTCTTGGTAAAAAGGAAATGTCTGGGATTCCACTGTAACGTCATGCATGCGAGTGCAATTATGGCATGTACCGGCATGCTTACTGCAGTTTATTGAAGAGATCACGGAAACATTAAAAGCAAAAACAAAAAAGTGTAAATCACAAACAATAAAAAATGAATAGTTGTAGTTAGATTAGTTCAAGTTTAGATAGTCTCCCAAAGTGCTTGGTACACTGTAAAAAGCGATTTGTTTAATTTACCTTTTAAAAAAGTAAACCTGTTGCTTTTAAAGTGATCAGTTGTCTTTCCAGAGTTCACACTTAGCTGATAATCAATAAAGCGGATTTGGCATGCTGTCCTGAGAGAGAGTCCTGAACTCGTAATATCCTCGAGCCCGGGGCTCCCTCCCGTTAGAAGGGCGAGAGGGGAGTTTGAGCTCAGGTAGGTCTCGAGAACTCCCCTGCTTGTCGCCGTGTGAGAAGTGTAAAGTAAGGTCGTCTTAGGTGATAATTTGGTTTAGTCGATTGCTATGGTTTATGTTTTTGGACGGTGGGAGGAAACCGGGGAACCCGGAGGAAACCCACGCGAACAAGGGGAGAACATGTAAACTCCGCACAGAAACACCCACCAGCCTGATAAGTGGTTGGACCAGCGGTGTTCTTTCTGTGAGGCAACAGTGCTAGCCACTGGGCCATCGTGCCGCCCTATCGGGAAAATAAAGGGGTGGGAGTAGGGTGGAAGAGGGGAAACTTCAAGACGAAGGTAACTGGAGTGAAAAACTCTGGTTATTTATAATGCTTCAGTAATCATTTAATAGGGCAGATTACGGAGCTAATGAGGAGCCAGCGGTGTTGATCATAAGCATGTGATCTTCTTGAAACTAGTTTATGAATAAACCACACTAACTTTAAAAAGGTGAGTAAAGCCATTGCTATTGAAGTTGATTGGTTTTTACATTTCAAATAAATCACTTCATTGTTTTTATTATGAGTAATTCCGTGATGATGTTTTTGTGTCACATCTTTTAATATTTAAATGTATATTAATGGCAACACGGTGGCTCAGTGGTTAGCATTATTGCCTCACAGCAAGAAGGTCAATGGTTCGAGCCCCAGCTGGGCCAGTTTCTGCCTGGATCTTGCACGTTCTCCCCGTGTTCATGTGGGTTTCGTCTGGGTGCTCCGGTTTCCCCCACAGTCCAGAGACATGCACTATAGGTGAATTGGGTAGGCTAAATTGTCCGTAGTTTATGAGTGTGGATGAGTGTGTGTGTGTGGATGTTGCGGTTGGAAGGGCATCCGCTGTGTAAAAAAAACGTGCTGGATAAGTTGGCGGTTCATTCCGCTGTGGCTTTCCCAGATTAATAAAGGGACTAAGCTGAAAAGAAAATGAATGAATGAACAAAAAGTGTCTTTGAAAGATTTGAAAAAAAAAGTCGTACCTAAGAAAGCCACTCTAGACAGCAAACTGTGGATGAACTAAATTGGCCGTAGTTTATTAGTGTGTGAATGAATGTGTATGGGTGTTTCCCAGTACTGGGTTGCAGCTGAAAGTGTGAAACGTATGCTGAATAAGTTGGCAGCTCATTCTGCT